CGCGAACCATGTAAGCGGGAATGGGGAGGATGATACGATTGAGAAAATCTATATGTATGTATATAAATATGTATATTTATATATCTGCTCGTTCTTCACCTTTCTCCATTTTTTTCTCCATTTTTTTCTTTGGGTGGGAATCCCTCCTCTTAGTGAAGTTTGTCTCCTCATCTCAAGGAATTTTTTCTCTCTGCAGGACTGGGGAAAAGGAGACACGCCATAGGCTTGTTTGACCCTTAAGACCCTTATGATGCTGATTGAGCGAAAGCTCTTTTACTCTGTGGGTAGGTTGAGTGACATCCCTAATAACGCCTATGAAGGAGACTTAAGGAGAGGCGATATCTTCCTAAAAGATTGCCTCTAATACACGTAACGCTACAATTCAAAAGCACAATCTTAGAAGAATACGATACGATGGATTATAGGCTCTGTTTTGAATAATTTATTTACGTATGAAATGAATGAAGATCAACATATACCCCACAATTACCAGAAACGTCGGCAACTCAAAACTCATCCTAAAGACTGGGTAATTTAGTATTGTCAACTCAGTTGATAACGTAAGTTAGCCACCGTAAAGACGGTTTTAAAGCTGACGTTTCAAGCGTTAGCCCTTCGTCAGAGCAAATGCACGAAGGGCTAACACTAAGAGCTATTCGCTCTGAGGAAGGGCTTTGAAACTAAGGTGGCAATTCAGTTATCATTTCAGTTGATAATACCAGATTACCCCGTTATACTCTCCTATCGACGCAGCACCACATTTTTTCTGGAAACTTACCCTCTCCATTCTAAAGAAAGTTTTCCAACGACATTTTTTTAAACAAAAGATCTTAGCTGCCTTGTTTCAATTTCCTCGGACAGATCATGTGACAGTGTTTGAGCGGTTATTGTCTGCAAGTGGGTTTTTACATCCCAACATCGTCCTCTCTCCTCCCCCTCCTCCTCCTTCCGCGAGGAACTTGAAGGAAAGGGGACCTTGAGAACGAAGTTGATTTTGCACCCCCGATATCAATAAAGAGAAGTCACCAAGCCTTTTTGGGATTTTACGTCCTCTGTAACATCATAACTAAGGCCTATGAACACAAAAAGCAGGGGTGTGGCTTGGATTTTTCAAGGGGAGGAGGATCAAACCGTGTCAAAAACTCGTCCCCAGCCCCTTCGTTTGGGGCGAACGGAAAAAGGACCTGGATACGAGGTTGACTGTGTCACCCAGCTGTCACTTAGTATACTATAATAATAGGTTGAAATGTAGACATGCACACTGTGATTCCCTTAAACTAAGTTGCAGTTCTCAGATGAGCAGTGAACGTGAGGAAAGGAAAAAGCTATAAAGAAAAAATCATTAATACTGGTTTACATTTAAGAATGTGAATGTAATCAGAGCCATAGAAGGCAAGAGTAGAAATAATTCCCTTTGACAGTAATAAGTGATTGTGAAAAATAATAAAAGGAATTCTTTACTTGAAAACAACTTGGGAAGAACTTCAAGCTGAGGAATGGACAAATGGTTTTTGGCTATTTCATAGCTTGCTGGAGTCAGTAATAACAGTCATGATTCAGAAAACACTTTTGTGAGGTTTCCAAATATTTTTGTCTGTAACCAATCCATACATTAGAAATATATTCATCAACTAAGCAGTTGTGAAAGGTATTTATTCACTTTAATAACAAAAGTCCTCATGAAATATAAATTCTTAGCAGTAATTAATAAGCAAAACTCTTTCCAGGGCTACTCTCACCTGCAACAGTATAAATAGTTTCTTCTGCCAATAATAGTTCAGTTCAACTCTTTCACCCTTCCCACTCCCCTGACCAGTACTCAACATTACCTACCCACCCTGTCTACAAAATATTTATTGAGAAAATATTTTATTGATATTTATTTAGAAAATATCAAAATGCAACTTCTTCCAAACACCTCATTACCTTGACCTTATATTTACATGAGACATAATTTCATGTAGACCACAACACGAAATATAAATATTTACACTGAACCATTTGCGTACATCTGGGAAGAATCAATTGCACTTAGCAAAGGTCAAGAGAAAAATCAGATGAATAGGGTTTTCTAAGAAAACATACATGATTACGCAGTAATTAAGCGAGGAAGCTAATTCATGCATCTTTCCAAATAAACCATTCACTTCACATTTTTTTAAAAGAAAAATAAAAGAATGAAAAAAAAGGGCAAACCGAAATGATTAATGCTTTGCTGATACCTTTCCTGAGAGGAGAAAACAAAATTATTTCATATGCTCTTTCTGAAAGAACACTCTCACCAAGTTTATTTTTTTGAGTGAGTCTTTTTTCAAGAATTAAGATTTAGAACACATCTACCTATTTGATATATCATTCTTGGCATTTACTGACCTGAGCTATGTAATCTTGAATAAACAAATGGTTACTTTTGATCAATATCATTCCCAAGACTTCAGTTGCAACCCATAGCAACTCCTGAACTAAAAGAACAATCTAATTTATTTAAATATTTATCACCT